TATAATTTCGTAAACAATTTGATACGAGTATGTCTATTTAATTATGTAAAGCATAAAAATAAAAGAATATTCATAAAATACGAAGTATTAGAAAATTTCTCAATTTTTATAGTTTTAATTAATGACTCACAAAAATTATGTTTTCCAATAATAGTAGGTTAATATTTTTTATGACAAAATCACGCATTGGTTGCGCTTCCGCCTCCTCTTCCCTCTTACTAAGAAGATTTTAAATGTGATTTCTAACAAATCTGTGGCGCCTCAAAGTTAAAAATTATAGTGTTAGCCACTAAGCTATTACCATATTATATGTCATTATGCCAAAATTAAATATAAATAAAAATTTCAACATGAAATTAATGCATTAACTCGAGACATTGTCCGAACCTAAAAACTAGTTTTCCTATTAAAAATGGCATGGGGTTTAATAATTACTAACAATTGGCAGTTAACCGAGTTGGTGATGAGTGATGAGAAGCTTGGGTTGGAGTTTTGGGCCAAAAGACTGAAACGAATTCAAACAAAGAACCAGATGCGTCACGGGCCAAAATGTACCAATGGGCTGGAAATTTGTTGCGGGGTTGTTGCTGGACAAAAAATTGGGCTACAAAGAACATGATTCTTGCTATTTCATTTTTCGTGTGTGTAGTTTTACATATATACTACTTCCGTTTTTTTAGTTGACACATTTTGATTTTAGCACTATTTACACACTCCTCTTTAACTGTGTTTTGTGCCTTGTACGTAATGAAAAATATAGTCATGTGGGACATTGTTAGATTCGTCACAATATATTTTTTCAAAATATCAACTTTTTAGAATTTTTGCTTTCGGTAATTAAATATATTAATGGTTAAATTTGTGCATTGGCAAACGTGACTAAGAAACGTGTCACCTAAAAAGAGAGGGAGGTAGTATATATTTAGGTTCATATGAGAACCATGTTTATGGTGAGAACCATACATAAGGTACATGTAATAAAACTAAAAAGTACTCCGTACATTATTTCGGTTTTTTTCCTTAGGTTTTATTATTTTATTTTTTTTAGTGATATACCTTATACTTTTTATTTTTTGGTTATGTACCTTATAAATATATGGCATGTACTTTAAAGTTTGCAATTCCTCAAAAAAAAATACAAAAAAAAAAATTAAAAAAAGATTTGCAAAAATTCAATTTTTTTATTTTTTATTTATTTTTATGTGATGTACCCTATAATTTTGTAACATGTACCTTATATCTTTCGGGCATGTACCTTATAGATATAAAAGGGACACCTTAATATGGGTAAGGATTCCCTTACCCTCCCCTCTACTCCTAAATTTTTGGCTCGCAAATATTGGACAAAAATACTGTGAGAGTTGAGGTCTAATCGGGGTCCACCTTACTCATTTACACATATCTAGAAATATTTAACAGAAACTAACTCAATTATTATTATTCCATAAGATAGAAATGCTTTGCCACGAATGGTTGTGTAATTGTTTTCTTAGTATTGGGTCATTACCCTCTTTTGCATCAAAAAAAAAAATTAAAAAAAAAAAAAAGATTTCTTCTAGTAGTAAGAGTCTGGATGTGGTTTGAGCAATAAGTCTGATTGTATCATTTCATCCTTTACATTGTGGACAATTTTGTAATTTCAATGCTTCCTTCTGTTTAATAATTAACCCGGGTTTGGAGTAGCGCTCAGTAGGAGTGGTGTCGTCATTATGATTGATTATGGTGGCCTGGTGGAAGATGCTGAAAAGGTACCAACAATATGCAAATTGATTTTAATGGTTTCTAGGTTCAATTGTTCAAAATCCTTCAAATTATTCGATTATTTACTACTTATTGAACAAACGGCAAGAATGCAAATCAGCCAACATTACAAAAGAAACTACAGGCCCATTTAAGGTATACTGGGCCGGGCCCAAATTGGGGTCATCTTTGTAAAAAATAAGCTGAAGCGGATTTACATATTTGTATTGAAATATCAGGCCTTCTACTTTTTTATGTTAAACTAGTGAATAGCCCAGACGTTATCCAGGGTTGCTACCGTTGAAAACGTGTAATCGATAAATTTTTTGTAAAGGGTTCTTAAAAATGTAATTGTTATTGTCAAACTAAAATTGATTTTTTTTTTTAGCATATTTTATTTTAATTGAATCTTAAGGTTTGCACTTATATAATTTTTTTTACTTGTTAACAATATATTTGATAATTGGCTTAGATGGTGAAATGGTTATTGTTGTTATAAGAGGTTGAGGGGTTCGATCCTCATTATCCTTGTATTTTTATATTCAATAATGTTGGTTGCTTGGGTGATGTGGCATTAAGAGATATAGTATAGATGACGTGGCGCAACAAAAAAGGAATTATGTGGCACATCGACATTTTTAGGAACATCTTTTAATATATACCCTCTACTATTGAGCATTGAGGATTAAAACCCAAATTAGGAACAAATTTTTTTAAAAAACAATAGTGTCACTTTTCCGTCTTTAATTTTCAAAATCATCATGGTTATCATAAATAAGACTTTTTAAGCTTATTGTTCAGCTTAAATCATAGTTTTTCCGCTTCAACTTAGCTTCTTGACATATTTTAACTTGTAACGCTACTTACAAATTTAACTTGACTAGATTTGTTATAATCCACTCAAGTGTAACATATTTTTTTTTTTACTAGACATATTTATGCACTGATAAATATAAATGAAATCATATTGTATCCTATTAATTAAACAGAAAAGTACGACTATAAAAAATTATAAATAATTAAAACCAGCGGTAATACTGAGCAAGCCTATTATGCTATTTAATAAATTTCTCACGAGTCAAAAAACAAGCACGAAACTTCAAAATCATAATATGGCATGTTTAAAATGTTACTAATTCATGTAAAATTTGGCCATGTAATAAAAATCATACTAGGTAACGTAAACAAATTTAGTACAATAAAAAAATATAAGAACAACTATTTACAACTCGCATCACCCAAAAAAAAAAAAATTCTATCAAATTGAACGTATCAACTTGGTAAATTTAGTGGGTGTCAGTTTTCCTAATCTTATATATTGACCGTATATTGTGAACCGCTCTAGAAAGGTCCTAGCAATTAGCAAAAAAATCTTTTAATTAATTGAATTTAATCACAACCAATTGCAATTGAATTTCATGCATGTTGTCACAACAACATAACTAGGCCCACTACTGCTAGACGTAAATAAAATATGGTTGTATTTTTTTACGTGGATCATCCATCTACACTCATATTACAGCTAAATATCCTCCCAAGTAAACATCGTTTTACCTTAAGACTAGAGTGGTCATTTTCTCTTTGTCAAAAATAAAGTGTTTTGGTTCGATTTTTTTTTTTTTTTTTTGTTGGCATGGTTTAGTCTGATTTCGTTTTAAGGTAAAATATTCAAGCATGAAATTTTCTTATTTTAGTTGAGTTGTGCATTACCAATTATATATGTCAATAATTTTTCATCAATTTATGTTCGAAACATGTAACTAATCACTCACATTAGCCGAGCATGACATAAGTTACACGATGTAGCACATGTGGAGCGCTTATCTCAACATACTCAAATACATGTTATAATTTTTCTTAAATTAGCCACGAGCATGACATATGTATAATTACAATATTGCATATAGCTTTGACTCTTAAAACTGTATTATTTTCAAATATTGGTTAATATGGTAATAATATATAGTTTCTATTACTTTTAATTACGCTTTTATAAATATCTATAAATCCTTTAAATTTACATGAAGTCGAAATAAAAAAGCAAGGTTGAATGAACACTAAGGTTGTATGTACAAGTAGTATTATGATTCCATACAGGGGCGGATCTTGGTTAGGGCGGGTAAGGGCCCGACCCCCCTTAAGCATATTTGAGTTGTTGATTATGAGTAATATGATGTCTAATAATTACAAATAAAATGTTGTGGCATAGTAGTTAAGTATTGTATTTTTGTGCAAAAGGTTGAAGGATCAAACCTTGGCCCTCTTAATTTTTTGGCCCAAGTTCCGCCACTGATTCTATATGAGGAATAAATAAATATCAAAGATCAATATGAAATGCAACATTTAAAAAGATTATTTCCATATTATATTATTCTTTAGCTTTAAGGTGAAGATAACATTTACTTTAGAGGTAAAAGGTAATACACTCAATAATGGAAACATAAAAATTATTTTAGTGTATTGGGATGTAAAATGGGATCAAATACTTTATGTATGTTGACAAGTTGAAGGTGACTTCATTTCTGTATTTTGGTAGATCATGAAGTGTAACATCGTCATACATATGGATAATTACCAACAAAAAAATTAAAAATATCAGATGGATGGGAAATAATCCATATGTCAAATTGCCACCCAATTTATTGTGTTGGATATTGGATTCCAGAGTGCACAACCCACGCCAAAGGAGGCTTTTTTTTTAATTTAATTTTATTTTTTATAAAGAAACAAAATATTGGTAGTAATGTAATTACATTAATTATTAATTTAAAATTATAAAATAAGTAATTATAAAATATGTTCCTCTATTGTGGTCCTCATCTTTTTAGCTATGTTGCCATCCATCCTTTTCACAAAAAGAAACTATAATTCTACTACTATTACTCTTCTTCCCTACTCAACAATAAATATTATCTTAATATTATTTTATACATCCTAATTAAAATGAATTATTATAATTAATATTCTTAATATTAATAGGAGGCCAATCAAGTAGGTACAATGTGTTGGAAAATCACGACAATTCCAAATACAAATTTCCAAAAATACCCTTAACACAAGATACCTATTACTAAAAAGGGAAACCCCCACATGAAGGAAAAGCTTAATTATAATGAATGTCATATGACTATAATCTTCTATTTAATGGCATAAATGTGGTGCTCCGCTTTCCAATGAGCAAAATTATTAACATCAACTAATAAATTTATTTTATATTTTCCTTTTTCCATTATATTATTAATATTAATTAATAAATTTATTTTATATTTTCCTTTTTCTTTTCATTCCCTTTTCCATTTGCCGACCTTTTGATTATTTTACCCCTGACCCTTAACTCCACCCACAACATCATCCTTTAGAAATTCCATCCTCCATTTCTTCTTCTTCTCTCTATCTCCTTTACCCCAAAAAAAAAAAAAATACCCACCATTTCTCAATCTTCTCTCTCCAAAACCCAGAATTTTTTTCTGCAAATAAATTTAAAAAAACCCAGAAAAATTATGGCGCAGAAGAGAGAGAAAGATGAGACTTTGGAGCTGAAAGTACCAGCTGAAACACCCCTTTCTCTCTCTTGCCCAGATAATTGCAAAAAACTCACATCATCTTCAAACAATACCCGGCCCGATATGACCCGTGTAGATCCGGATCCAGCCCGACCCAGATCCAAACGAGGAGCCGAAAACGAAGAAGAAAACCATCAACCTCTGGTTGAAACGACGTCGTTTAAGGAAGATCGTCGAGTATCGACGACAACAACGACGACCACAACGACGACGACGACGACGACCGTGGAGGTGTCGGTAACGACGGTGAAAAAGGCGGTGAATCGGTGTTTAGGTTGCGGGAAACGGGTCGGGTTAACCGGGTTTCGATGTAGATGTGGAGATCTGTTTTGTGCAGAACACAGGTATTCAGATCGACATGATTGCAGTTATGATTATAAAACTGCAGGAAGAGAAGCGATTGCACGGGAAAATCCTGTTGTTAGAGCTGCTAAGATCTTAAAAGTTTAGAAAAAATGGTGGTCAAACTTTGAGTCAAAGGAGAGAGGAAATGGAAAAAATGAAAAAATTTAGATGGTTGAGGCTTTGGTTGATTGACGATGGTGGATAAGGTGGTGGGTGAGTGGGTGGTTGGGGATGAGGGGTATTATTGTCATTATTGCAAGATGCGTTGTGACTTTTCTTTTTTTTTTTTTTTTTTGTATTTTTATTATTTGTTTGTTTCTCTTTTTTACGGAGGAAAAAAAAAAGAAAAAAAAAAGAAAAAAAAAAATTTAAAATTGAAGTAATTCTTCGATAGTAGTTATAATATATTTAAGAAATTTAACCATGAACTAAAATGGGTTGAGTAGTACTACTTGTATTATTATTTGTTGTTACGAGTATGTTGTAATTTAAAAAGAAAATTGTTGAGTGGCTAACTTGGTTATTATTATTATTAAATTATTCATCATTCTTTATTTATTTGGTTTGATTTGATTTAATTATTCACAAGTTTAATTATTCGATTTTGTGATTATTTATTTATTCAATTTCAACTTAAGCCTTACAAATTGAATGTAATTTTACATATCTTGTCCATATACTACGTACTCTTTTGGAAATGTTATTGAATGGTTTTGTGTGGATGAAATTGAAAATAGATTGATCGTGTATTCGTGTTGTATGGTAATAGGTTATCTTGAGATCGCCAATCGTCTCGAGATAACCTAAATGTTAATTTAAATTCGAAATTGCGACTGGATTCAATCATGGTAGGCTGGAGAATTATGTCAATGTGAATTTTCAATTGAATACCAAATCAATGTACATAACTTTTGCGTGTTTGATGTGTTAGTGAGAGAGATGACATTGACATTTTCATTTTGAATACTATTGTGGCAACCGTGTAATGAGGTCAATGAAGGGTAGGAAGTACCGAAGTAGATTCTCGATTTCTCGGGCATTTGCTAATGACATTAGCAACGCCACGAATCAAACTCATCTTACCACTAGAATTTGGTATTAAAGGATATATAGGTTAGATGAACAAAAGACGAGATTGTGGAGTATGCACCATGACTCCATGAGGTAGAACTGTAGAAGGTTGAGATTCGAAACACGTAGATGAACCAAACAAAGCCATTGAGATGTAGCTCGCAAGGGCACATAAAGAGAAACACCTACTCGATTGCAAGTTATTGAATTTGCTAAATTTGATGCATTCGATCGATCACAAGTGCTAAATTCAAAGAGAGATCATGGATATGAAGATTTGTAGAATGACGCCTTAAAGAAAGTTTATGTGTAGACATATCGAATTTAGCCCGTAAGTAAGATCTCCTCAACATACTTGAGTTAAGATGCAAAAACTTACCTATTTTGCAAGTAGTGAAAACACCATAATCGTAAGGAAGTTGAGCTTTGACACAATCTCAAAAGCAAGATTAAAAGATGATATGATGTGGTAAGGAGCAAAGGTTTCCATACTTTTCCAAAAACATGACCTCGATTTAGTAATAAAAATGACACATCAACATCTTTCAAATAGATAATTAATAGACTAAAAAAGAGATGAACGGATGAAGTTCATATCAATTGCTATTCACGGAGTACGGAGTATAGTAACAAAGCGTCAATGCATTGCAAAGAACAATAAAATCCATAAGTTATGTTTATTTCACATTATTCAAGTTATTATTACTCTGTCCATTTTGTTTTTTTTAAAATTTACAGTAGATCAAAATCTAACATTTAAATCACAATAGATCGAACAACCTTAAACAAACAATTTTGATTATATTACGAACTTATTTCATTAGATGACAAGTTGACTACATAACTCGATTCATTAGCTTATTTAAGGGTGTCTTACTCATACTAGCCATATACATATTGTATTACACTAGTTGTATCCTTGATCATAAAATGAAATCATCTTAACACAAGACTACCAAGTCTTGAGGGAAAATGAACCCCAACATAAGATTATTGAACGAGTTTTGTGGAAGAATATGTAACGCAACATAATAGTGGGGTAGTTGGATGTCGAAAGGAACCAAAAAGATGAAGAATAAAAGGAATAAAAAATAAAATTAATAATAAAGAAAAAAAGCCAAAAAAATGGAAAAAAGAGGAAAAAGAAAACTGGATACTGCTCATCTAATACTATCACAATGAAGCAAAGGCAAAAACTTCATGCTAACTGTCGCAAAAGCCTCCATTTCCTCTCAAAATGGTCTGTTTAAAGCAGTTATTTATTTATTTTTTGGGTGTCTCGTATCTTTATCGTATCTTATGTTTCCCACAATTTTTTTTAATTCATTTATTTATGTTATACTCTCTGTTTTGTTTTTCTTTTCTTTTTCTTTTTTTTTTTTTATTTTTTTTTATTTTTTAAGTGTTGGTCCGTTTACTTTTTAACTATGACGGTTTAATATTATACATATATGCTCTCACGGTTGCCAATTTTATTTACTCATGCTTTTTATATTTTTTTGTATTATTACTCATTATTATTTATTTCCTCAAATTTATTATTTTTCAAAAATTGCTACCGTTACTATCTTTTTAACAAGCTTTAATATTACACTTGCATCTTGTTATATTAACGTCAATTAAACGACCTATAAATATGTCTGGTCAACATGTAACACTTATAAAAAAAGAAGATGCAGAAAATGTATTACTCATCTATATAATAATACTTTGTTTAATATAAATGAATGGTTGAATCATGAGGTGGTTTTCTTTATGGTCTTGTTTTAATAATCCAAAAAAACTCATCTACTTCACCATTCAAGAGATGATCTTCATTATATTTGTTAGCTCTATCATAATTATAAATATTGTAGATAAGCTTGTATGAGATTTAGTACTTTGTCAAGGCAGTAGTGGCGTATTCAGAAAATTTGAAGTGTAGGTTCAGAATTGTTAAGCAAATAAAAATATACTCTATATAACTTAAAAATTCATTTTTGTTTGGAAGAAAACAAGCCGGAATTTTATTAATTCAATACACAAGTTTAAAGGGCCCAAACTGGATAGTAAAGCAAGATTATGACAACCACTGAGCTAGACTGCTATCTCTAAATCAAGTTTACAAGATTTTTTTCAACCTTCTTTATTTTTTTTACTTTTTTTAAATGGTGGGTTCAATGCTCCGCCACTGAATGGCAGGGATGAATGTAATAAAATGTTGTTACCATACATGCCCACTAGATGATCAAATAAAGGCACAAGGCTACTTTGAGTCGAAGGTAAAAGGTGTGTCCATGACTAATTAAATTTAAAGGTAACAAGCAAATAAAACTATTTCGACCAAGAGGCCTCTCGAAGTCCCATGGGTATGATGCTCATTATGCTTGCGGAATGATATACTTTCAAACTTTTAGAACATAAAGACATTATTAACCTAACTTGTTCCTTAAGTATATACATTCATGTTGCTTTGCACAAGTACTAACCTAGTTATAAATATAAGACCTACCATTCACCACAACTTTACCAAACACTACTTCTCGTTTTTATTAGAACTTTGACTTAGTCAGACCCCTTAAAGTTACTCTAAAGTTGTTGCTAAACACAATATAATTAAATACAGCATAAACATGCTCTAACCAATATGGATATGCCATACTACCTCCGGTTCACATTACTCGCAACAAAGGAATATTTATATCTCACAAATAATACCCCTTTGTTACGAGTAATGCAAACCGGAGGTAGTATGTGTATGACGCATGGCCTATATTGACTTCCTACCCTGTACATTCATAATATGGATATGCCATACTACCTTCGGTTCACATTACTCGCAACAAAGGAATATTTTATATCTCACAAATAATATCCCTTTGTTACGAGTAATGCAAACCGGAGGTAGTATGGGTATGACGCATGGCCTATATTGACTTCCTACCCTGTACATTCATAATATAGACATCTTATAAGGTGCAATAATCCCTCAATACCTGCCTTGCAAGATCATTTGCTCCACTCCTTTTGTAGATCAAATGCAAATTGTATGCTGCTTCCCTATGGAGATTACAGTAGCCCAAATCTGGATCTTTTATACGATCTTTATGCGATTTGAGAAACTCCGGTAAGGGGCAATCTTCTTGGTATATTGTGAGAACTTTTTCATAATGATCACCTGCCAATGAGACAAGTCCGACGTGGTGGTATGCACGAGCTATATTGTACAAGGCTTCCTGAAAGAAATGACGGACAATCCATAAAGCAGACAACTTTAAAAGACATACAGCAAATGAAAAGTTTCTAAAAATCTGATTAGCATATTAATTTGTTAGGTGACACTAATTAACAACCTTGGTCAAGTAATTCCAAGAAAACACTTGGAAGTTATTCATATTTTTGCATGTGTTTGGGGTTTTTTTTTTTTTCTTTTCTTTTCTAAATTACTTGTTAGAGCATGGTCAGAGAGACTAAGAAGGGATAAAATTCCTTCTATTAGCAACTCAATCAAGAATTGAAGATGCAACTTCTTAGACAATGTATGCTACTCTTATTATTTATTTAAAATTGAACAGTCTTGATTCTGTCATTCAGGTACATTTTCTAGTAACAATTAATGTGATTACGTGTTTTTCAAGTCAAAATATAAGTACAATTACTAAGCAAAATCAATATCATCTCCTAGATTTGCATCCTCCAAAGCCTGGAATCAGAAATTTGATAGTTTTTCAGATTCTCTAATCCTAGTAAGGAAAGTGATCTTTACTTGATTTAATCAAACAATATAAATCATACGCATACATCAATAAAACCATGCTCAAAACAATTTCACTTAATCAAATGCTGACCTGGCTGTTTTCACAAAGTTGTAGATTGTTATAGAGAAATGCTAAGCCTTGTGCAATACATTCATGCTTGTTTTGGAGCCTGAGTCCAAGGGCTAAATTGACAAGGGCAGTCCCTACACAGAAAGAAACAATACCAATACTAAAAATCCAGCAATATCAATTTGATTGAGTAATATTTAGAGAGACAATATACCAGTGCAGAGGTTAATCAATGGGTTTTCTGGCATCTGTTTATAAGCCTCCAAGTATTCTCTCGCAGCTATTTGATGTTGACTGATCATAGTAAACTGATTTCCAACTATAATCATGGGTGGTATTAAACCTTTGTGTTCAACTCGCATGTGGTGCAACAATTTACTGTGTTTTGAAAGCCGATTCTCCAATCTACATAGACATAGAAAGATAAAAAGATGATGACAACTGAACTCAAACCTCAAGATTTTGTGAAATGCCTAATCTATGATGAGTCTAGCCCTTCTACCTCCATCCCCTATTGTTCGTCTTGCTTGAATCAATCCCCATTTTAATAAACACATGATTGTATAAGATATGCAAGGGTATTAAGTACCTTAAGAATAATCTGTAATAGCAATATCAGGCAGCAATACTCTGTGGATGCTTCTGAACAATGTA